CCCTCTTTCCGGGGGCTGGGGCTGGGCCGGGGCGCTTCGGCTGACCCTCCTCGCCGTACTTATCGAAGATCTCCCTCTTTTTGGGGTCGCTCAGCACATCGTAGGCCTCGGCCACTTCCTTGAAGCGCTCCTCAGCTCCAGGCTCCTTGTTTTTATCGGGATGAAAACGAAGCGCTTGCCGTCGGTAAGCCCGTTTTATCTCTTCGTCCGAAGCTCCCCGGGCCAGGCCCAGCGTCCGGTAATAATCCTTCCCCATCGCGGCGGTTCGGCCGAGCTCCGCGGCTCCGCCTTTATAGGGCCGCGGCGGCGGAATCTTCCAGAGCCCGCCGCCTCCAGAACCTTCCGGGCCCGCCTGGCCGTTCCACCAATCGGCGCTCTCCGATCTTTGAGCGGCGTGAGTCGTCAGCGAATCGGAGCGCGGGAAGAGGTGATTGGCGTTCGGTTTCGGCCAATTGATGGGCGGGAGGTGGGTGGGAGAGCGCAGGCGCGGTAGGGAAAGGGAATGGGGCGGGGCTAGCGTTGCCGTGGCAACTGTTGGCTAGAGGGGGGGCGGCTCGAGGGGCGTTGCTATGGCGACCGACGGCACAACCGCAGCCTGGGCCTGTCAGCACAGCTCCCGTCAGCTGCGGCGACGGCCTGTGCCTGTCACCACGGCAACCCTCACCCTAACAGACAGCCGGGCCCATCACCGCGGCAATTCCACCCGTAAGAGGCCGTCAGACCTGTCACCAGCAGCCCCCTGTCACCCGCATCGGCTGTCTGTGCCTGCCGCCATGGCAACCGTCACCCTAAGAGAGACAGCCGGGCCTGTCGCCATGGCAACTGTCACCCACAGCAAGAGCTGGGCTCTGTCACCCACAGCTGTACTGACAACCATGGCTGGTCATACTGCAGCTGTCACCATGGCAACCATCACCCATCATATCCAGAACCTGTCGCCCATTACAACAGCCTGGTCCCATCCATCGTAACATCAGCCAGACCTGCCACCACATGAGGACAGGCGGGGAGGGTGGGGGCAATGCCAAGGAGCGTTCCCACAACCCCGTGTCTGACAGTGTACCCATGGGGTCCCCACGTCCCACGCCATCCCCCTGCCCCTAACTGACCTCACACCCCATGCTGCCCCACATCCCCTGGTGTCCCCAAGACCCCACAGTGTCCCCAGGACCCCACAGTGTCCCCATGTCCTCTTGCTGTTTCTGTGCCCCATGATGTCCCCACGTGCTCAGACGTCTTTACAGTGCTGCTATGCCCTACAGCACCCCCACACCCCCCAGTGTCACCATTCCCCACAGTGATCTCACATCCAATGGTGTCTTGGTGGTGTTCCCACGCTCCCCCCCCCACCCAAGGCGGCGTCACTCCCCCCACCCATGGGTGCTGTGCTCGCCCCTCCCCCACTGCAGACTCAGCACACCGCACCCACCCGCACTGACTCACCGACACCCACGGTGGCTGGGGGGCGTGGCTTCCTCTCAGACCCCGCCCCCTCTCGCTCAAGCCGCGCCCATTCCACCCCCGCCCTCGCCCCCTCTCGCCCCACCCATCGGTGTAGCCCCGCCCCTCCCACAAGCCACGCCCCTTTCTCTCTCTACTCACGTCTCCCCGCTGTCCCGTCCCCGAGCGGTGACGTCACGACGCTCAAGCCCACCCATTGGCTCTCACCTCACGCCGCGCCTTCCCATTGGTCACCACGTTGCTACACTTGCGGGTTACCCCAGAGACGTGAAGGAAACGCCCCCCTAAGTTCTGATTGGCCGCGCGGCGCCACGCGAGGGGCGGTGATTGGCTGCGGGGGCGGAGAGCCCCGCCTCGAGGCGATCACGTGAGCGCGGAGGGCCGGCAGCGGCGGCGGAGCGGGCGCCATGAAGCACTACGAGGTGAGGCGGCACCGCCAGACCCGGGCCTATTCCCGGTTCTCCCCGCGCTGCCGCCCTCCGCCCCGTCCTGAGCCGCGCCGCGCCCGGGGCTGCGCCCGGGGGGTCGGGGGGCGCCGCGGCCGTACTGCGCATGCGTTTTCCCTCCGGGGGCAGCGGCACTGCGCATGCGTGCGACCTGTGGGGGCGGGAAGAGAGTACGCATGTGTGTAGGGCCGGAGGGGGGAGGCGGGTTCAACCGCGCATGCGTGTAGAGCGCGGGGCTATGAGTGCGCATACGTGTCGGGGGCTGGTGTGGGAGAGTGCGCCTGCGCACTGCGCCGCGACTACTAGCGTGCGATGTGCGCATGCGCGGTGGTTTCATGCGCTTTCCTGGGCACGCAGTGCGCATGCGCAGTGCACAGGTAGCGAGGCCCGGGCTTATGGAGTGTCCGCATGGGGTGACACAGTGCCCTGCTGTCTGTCTGTCCCACTTCCTCTGTCCCCACCGTCTCAGTGCCGGGGTGACAGCGCAGCACGGGTGGCACGTCCCCTGTCAGCAGGGTGACCCTCCTGTGCCCCCCCTCCCAGGGGGTGGCATGTCCCCCCCGCCCACAGCCTCCCCATCCCCACACAGTGACACACACCTGCTGTCCCCATCACCTGGTCACACGCTGACAACCAACCCCACGTCCCCATCCCGCGGTGACACCATCCTCACCACCGCACCGTGTCACTGTCACCCATGGGGGTCTTGGGAGGGGTGACAGGACAGCAGCAGGGTGACGACAGAACGTCCCACTCCCAGCACAGTGACACAGGCACACCAGAATCCCACAGCGTGTTCCCAATTGCCATAAAGGTCTCCAAGGACTGTACCCAGATGTCACAGGGGTCCCCAGGAGTGTCCCCTAATGCCACAGAGGTCCCCCAAGCCCCACAGAATGCGGTGACAACCCCACATCCCCGCCAGGGTGTGCCCTGTCCCCAGAGGGGTGACAACCCCCGTGTCCCCAGCAGGGTGTCAGAAGGGGAGACGTGTCCCCACCAGGGTGACACAACACCATGCCCCCACCAGAGTGTCTCCTGTCCCCACCAGGGTGACACGACCCCCGTCCCCAGCGTTATGACCCCACAACCACAGTCCCCACCAAATTGTCAGGGCGGTGACAACCCCCATGTTGCCAGCAGGGTGTCAGGAGGGTGACATCCCCACTGGGGAGGCACAACCCCTTCACGATGTGACAGCAGTGACACCCCCCCTGTCCCTGCTACCTTGTCACGGGGGTGACACATCCCCTGCCCCACAGGGGTGACAGGGACACCCGCCCCCAATGGGGTGATGCAACCCCCATGTCCCCGCCGCCATGTCCTTAAATCCCCCTCCCACCCCCTCCCCCTTCGGGGGCTTCATCCCCTCCTTTTCACCCTCCCAAATGCCACCTGCACGCCACCTAGATGTCACTCAGATGCCACCAACCCCCCTCCCCCACCCCTTTTGTGCCCACACCCCGTGTCCCACACAGCCTTACCTTCTGCTCCCCACCCCCTTTTGCAGCCACCCTTGCTGCCACCTGTAACCAAATGCCACCTCCCCGTGGCAGTGGCCACCTCCCGTGGGGGCCACCGAGCCAAGAGCCGCCCTGGAGGGAAGGGGAGGGGGTTGGGAGGCTGTGTGTGTATGGGGGGGGTTATATTTAGCCAGGGGCCCCCGGGGGCGATCAGATTTCGGGACAGGGAGCCTCGGCCCCGCGGCGGCGTTGTCCCCAAGGAGGCGTTGGTGGCATGGAGGGGACGGCGCTGCCCCTCGAGGCGGGGGGGTTGGAGGGGTTGGCGCTGCGGCGGCCGCCCCCCCATGGGAAGAAGGCAAAGAAAGCCGTGCTCTTCTTTGAGGTGGAGATCCTGGATGCCAAAACGAGGGAGAAGCTCTGCTTCCTCGATAAGGTATGG